TCCCTAACTTTCTCTAATACTCAAATAACTGTCCTGAATGCAGCTTCGAATGGGTTTTAAGAAATTACAGACCTAGTGACCTGTGGAAATATTTCATGTTACATTGTTTCTTGTGGAATAAGAAATACCAAATGTCATTCGTAATGTCACACTCCTCCTAAGAAGGTGTAATTCTGAACTTTCTCCTCCATGACTTCTCAACTCTGATAAGAAATACTAGAACTTGTGTGCTGTGTTTTGTTAAAAAATGTAAATTTATGCTAAAAATTGTTTGTCAGTCTCTCAGAAAAGTAAAAGTAATTAAATAGAAAGTTCTACAGATTTGTGCCATTTCTGTACCCTCTCATCTCAAGATGGTGTGAGAAACAGACAATTGTAATAACTTGCTGCTACTCCTTTCCAGCTTAATTTGATCTTGTTCCTTAATTCTGACAGATTGTTTTTAATTTTCCCATCTGTTCCATAAAAATTGCAAGTGATTGACTCTTAGGAAAAAATAATGTCTAATAACTGAGCCATTTTTAATGAGTTGGTAGGAGTTATTTAATGAGACGTGCTGAAGAAGGCAAGCCAAGTTGAAAGATTGGGCCTGGAGTGGAGGATGTAAAGAAAGGTAAAGGGCACCTGCATGCTTCAGGAAATCTCTACTCTTCTTTTTAACCTCAGCTTTAGACTGCTGCTGTCTCCAACTTCAGGCAGTGCACATCCTTAGAGCCATGGACAAAAAACAAATGTTCGGTAGCAGTAATTCCTTTTCCCCTTTTCTTTAGTGCAATGTCTACCCTCAGACAGCACCGCTTTGGAGCGAGGAACAGTCATGGAAAGGGGAAAAAAAAAAAAAAAAAAGATCAAAGGATAATACTTAAGTAAATTTAAAAACATTGTAGGTTGTGCTTTAACTTCATCTCTTCTAGCAGCCTGCACCATAACTCCCAGTTATTCTGGTGTTAGGTCAGAAAGAACCCCCATGCCAGTAAACAGAGTGAATGTTCTCCTCCAGCCTCTCTAAAGGCTAAAGCCCTTTGCTTTAAAATTGCCTGAAAATGACATCTCCTGGGACAGGAAGCTATCAATAATGCAGTATGGGTCTTTGAGAATAGCAGCCATGAATATAAATGTTAACATCTGGACTTCTCCCTTCTGTTTTGGTTTTAATATATTATTATAATAAACATTAACATTATTTATTATAATCATCAAATAGCAGTTTCTCTGGCAGCCTGAGACTGCATTATAAAATCAAATGGTGAAAATAAATATACAGCTCTTTTACAAAGAAAGTTGAAAGTTTGGCTCAACTCTGCAAATATGCCATTGTTAGTCTAATCTATCGTACAATTCATAGAATAATGAATTAACTTTCCGATTGCATACAGTGAGGCATAACAAATGAGAGAATGCTACCATAGTAATAAGTAAAATATACACTTGTTTTTGCAGTTTTTAATGGGCTACCAACTAAGGAGAGAGACTTCTGTCTGCATTTTTTTTTTAACTAGTAAAATCTGAGAGTAATTTAAGTGAAAAGAGAGCAGGGAACATCAGTACTGCACACTTTTAGAGCATCTCCAAATACTCAGCCTGACAGGTTTCCCTGTGACATGTATTTCAAACAACCAAAGAGGACAGCGGAAAGTTTAAAATGTGACTTTTAAACCACCGAATGTGGTAACAGTTAAAACTGCTTCTGGTTTAGATTTGTACAAAACTGGACTTGGATGGTGTTTGTTTTAAGGCACAAGCTCAGCAAGTAGCCACATATGGGAGATGCCCCATGCTTATATAGAAGTCTCTGGCTCTGAATGAGACTGGACTGTGCCTATGAGTTAGACTATCCTAATCTGGGACTGATATAAGGGAAGAAAATGTTTTTACTTTTTAAGGATTTTTTTTCTTCTTATTACTGTCTAGTAGCAATGTTCCTAGAGTTTGACCTTTTTTTTTTCTGTTGGGGAGAAGGAATGGATTGGTGGTTTGCTTTGTCTGCATGGCAGAAGACAAAAATGACTTAATTTGGGGTAAATTCTCATGGGCTTTTGGAACACAACCCATTTATCTATCGCTCTTGATGGATTTTGGACAAGGATTTTGTTGCATTGTGGCTTTAGTAATAAATCTGCGTATTTATGTAGTTAAAATTAAATTCACAAGATGTAAATTTAATAGTTCTGCATTAATCCTTCATGAAGCATTGATCTTTTGTTTTTTTTATCTTCCTCCTCAGTGTGTCAATCCTGATCTTTAATACTTCTCGTCAGTGCTTTGTTGTGGTGAGGCAGTTCCGCCCAGGTAATCCTCTTTTTTAAGTTTTCCTTTTGCTCTCTAGTGAACCAAGCTTTTAAGGGTTTAGCAGCTAAAAGTTGGTGCATCTGTGGTGATAAAATCTTTGGTTTATATTCTGTTTCTTTGTATGATAGCCCACTCTTTTCAGTTGGTCAGTATTTCTAACTGGGGAAATTTCCTTTATAGATGAGACAAATGATCAGGGTAGCCTTACATTTTGCTTTTTGGGCTAGTCATCGTCCTCCTTTGGATGAAATTACAAACAGCTCTACAATGATCATGCAATTCCTTCTTCACCTGTCTAGTATTTAGTAGGCAGTTTCTGTGCAGAAGCACAATATTCCTTTTTTTTAATGTGTTGTTGTGCGTTGTATACTTGGGAATTTAAAGTGAGGGCAATTTAGGACTGTATGCTTTTTCATCGATACGTAGACAGCTTCATTTTACCAGTTATTATTATGACTTTACATGAATATACTTTTTTTCCTGTGTCTTTGTATCAGTTATTTTAATTTGAAGCAATATTTACTTTTTGGAAGTTAAAAATTAAATGCATATTCTCTGCCTGTAAAAAAAAAAAAAAGGCACAAGATATTTCACTGACTGTTGCTAAGAGACCATTTCAAGACTGTTCCTGGTAGATGTTATAGGAAACTTTCAAGGATGGTGTCATGCTGTCTTTTCTTGCTGACAGTGATTGACAGGCTCTTCAGTGTTGTGCACCACTGTTATACTGACTGTGCATACTTCTCATGCAGCACTAATATTGGCTATTATAAAGAGTTTGTTTATTTGTTTATCAATAATCCAATGTCTTTTATTTGCCAGCTGCATAAAATGGCTCATATAGCTATTCCTCTCTTTGAGGCAATCTTAGGCAGAAGCCTTCATCTATGTGGAAATGTATATGTGTACTGAACAGCGACATATTCATTATATCATCCCTATGGAAGTGTCAAATCTGCCTCAAAAGACTAGACTGTTCTGGAGTTAAACTGTTCCAGAGTCTGGAGCTGCTTAGAAACCTGTCCTTAGGGACAGTGGTCATTCAGACACTCAGTCCATAGCAGTTCAGTGATTGCAACCATGCCCTGACATTAATCACACCACTGTAATTGTATTTCCATTCCATGGTTATTGTCTGCCTTGGTGCCCATTCCACAAATGAAAATTAAAGCTGAGACCTTTCTCATTGCTAGCTCCTATCAGGGTCCCACTAGGAAGGTGATAGCTCGTTACTTGTAAGCAAACAGCTTGTGCTCACTCACCAGGCACATCCCCTTCACGTGTGCTGGTTGACATAAGTGCTTGCCTTTCCTTAGGGTGCGGTGTCGTGATCAGGTTTTCCCATTGAAGTCTGTGCTGCTTATAATGGCAGTCATCCCTCCCTCTATGTACATTGCCAGGCCATTCCCTTTGGGAGCACCACCCCTGAGGCAGCCACAGAAGAGGTCTTATATGACTGCAAACAGGTAATTCTGAGGATTAGACAGTTTATCTGACTGGCCTGGAAGAGTTCATGCTGGCTGCAGGGGTGGCACACAACTGGGGTGAGGCAGACAGGACCATATTTTTTGGTGTACTGTGGACTTAGATCATCTCAAATGAGTCATTTGGAAAGAGCAGAGGGAAGAAAGTTACATGTATATCTCAGTAGTTTCCATATTAGTTCCTTGCCCGTGACTGACTGGCCAAGGTCTTGGACAATGCTTATTTTGGTAATCAATTGACCACACATTTTCAAATATAGGAAATTAATATGTTCCTGGGAAAGGCTAGGGTTGGTACCTATGAATGTGTGCCTTGTTGCTTCCACTGTAATTGTAGTGACCTTTCCATGGATTGTGGTGTATTTTTTTAAAAAAAGAAAACTGATCTCTAGTCATGTTTTTCAGCTAAGAAATGGAAGCTCCTTTCTTTAAATGTCTGAATCTCAAAGGCTTGGATGTACCTACTGCAAACAGCTTTGAAAGTTTTAAATTCTGGAGAAAGATTAATTTTGGGGCAAACTTCTGCTCTTCATCTTTCTTTTCAGACTGATCTAGACCTCTCCCGTTCAGGTGCTGATCTTGCTATACTACACTTCTGAGACAAGAAGCTTTATAGAAAGAGCCTAGGCACAAACTTCTGGGGTATAGGCTCTGTCCCAGAGATCAAGTGCTTGAGAAGTCACTGTGGTACTTTACTTTTGCGTGACAACATTTTTGTAGGGACCTTGTATATCAAAGTTTTAAGAAATAATAAGCTAAATCCAGTAACTGGAAGAACAAAAAATTGTCCACTAAACTTGAGCTCTTTTATGTACCTCATCTGTAAGATTTAGAATGGGAAATAAAAGATAAGCTAATTTGTATGATATATAATAACCATGTTATGTGTATGTTAAATACGCATGTCAAATATTTTAATAGAATAAAAATAATTTCCAATTTTAAAATAGTTTTATTTAGGGTGTTTTATAACACCCTCATGCTAACCTTTCATGAAAAGCAAAAACATAGACATGAGGGAATTTCAAAGAACAAACAGGTGCAATTCTACCTGGTAAACTAAAGTTACAATGATTGGAATTGTTGGTAGTGATTCTTTGTGTGCTAACATCCAGTCCTGCAGTTCTTACTCAGGCAAAATTTCTGTTGACATCAGTGAGAGGTTTTGCTTAAATAAAGGCTAAAATCTGGCATTTGCACTTTCTTTAGGAGTGCATTACAGTGGCAGCTGTTTGTAGATTAGTTCAAGAAGTCTTCTTCAGACTCCACACAGGAATCTGTGCAAGGAACTATATGTTCAAAAGAGGTGTGTGGGCTTTTTTTTCAAACAAACATACATGCTTTTCATACCCTTTCTAAATAACAGCTGAGTTGACAGGCTGAAAGGCTCATCATTGTGCATATGGTACATAATGTGCAACCCAACTTTCCTGCTAGATAACTGCATAGTTTAAATTAAATCCTGATATCTGCATTGCCCAACAAATGGAAGTGGTATGGCTTTTCTGGGACTTAAACTTCTTGGATGAAGTTTAAGCTTCCTTTTTAAATTTTTGTTTATTTTAAGATGTTCATGAATTCATTCCAAGTGATGTAAGCACAAATAGAGTTTAAAGAATAATTTTACAGAAATCGCATGAGAACCTTTGTTCTCTAAAGTTCTAATTTCAGTGTGTCATAATTTTAATAGATAACACAAATGAATTCTTTGTACTCTCAAGTACTCTGGTGGTTATAAATTTCCAGGCAAAATTTGTGTACCATCTCTTTTTCTATTTAATATGAATAAACTAACATCCCCCCCGCTCTTGTTTCTTTTACTTTGTGGGTTTTTTTTAAGCTGTTTACATGTGTGAAGTAGAAAGGCATCATCCTCAAGCCTTTCAGCATCAGGACAAGGAGAGCTTCTCTCGCCTAGAGGATCCCTTACCTGCTGTGGTAGGAGTGACCTATGAACTCTGTGCTGGCATTGTAGACAAACCAGACCTTTCTTTAGAAGAAATTGCATGTGGCGAAGTCTTAGAAGAATGTGGCTATCGTGTTCCCGTCACAGACCTAAGGAGGATCACTTCTTACAGGTAAATAGCAGTAAGTTACAACACTTTGCATTTTGTTGTTTCAGAGATTGCTGAAGTGGCTTGAATGTAAATTAATGTTCCCTATTCCCTTATTTAAGCAGTGTGTTGGAGGAACCTGGACATCTGAAAGTGTATGTACAGGTGTAATTTTCAGCAAGTGAGAGGAGTATTTACAGAGACCTAAGGAATTATAAACTCATAATTATGGGATTGAATTCCCAGTAAGAATGATACCATTGTGATTTATTCCAAAGACTATTAGAACTGGGAAAAGTTGCACTGAACTCTTCAGAGCAGTTTGTTACAGTGCTTAGAAGGCAGCTGGTCTTTAATGTGTCAGACATTTTCCATCTCTGATTCTTATTATTCTGATTAACAATAGAAGCTGCCCAAGATGGACTCTGATTTACCACTAACACAATTTTGCAGAAGCGTGAGAACTTGTACCATTAGATTTCTTCACGTTATTTGGGCTGTAATTAAGCCTTCTTTGAATTGGACAATAATTAATGTTATATATGAAGATTTTGCTGATTTGACTGTGAGAATGTTTACTTTTTTTTGCAGGGTTTTAAATAGTTATTGAAAGATTTTAATGTGTTTTAAAACATATATTAGAAGTAAGAGGAAAACTTAATATGTAAGAAGAAAAATAAAAAATGTCAGTTTGTTTTTTGGGGAACAAACCACAAAAAAACCCAAACAGAAAACCCTCAGGAGAAACTTTGCACAGAGCTTTAATCCCATTGTATCTCTTTCCCAGCTTTTAGTATTGTTACACAAAATGTACGTGTGTTTGTATTTTACAGAGAAAGCAGCAGGTTTTTTACTTTTTTAATTTTCCTTGACATCTCCATTGAACTAGGCCCTGTCATTGGTTTTTAATTTGGGAATTGAATACAAATCCACAGCTGTCAATCCTGGCAAATGTTATTTCCTGCTGGATTAACAAGCAGTGCTTCTGTTGAGGGGAGGGGGTGAATCACAGGAGCTGTCTTTTACAGCTCCTTGAAACTAGATTAAGGGTTTGTTCTCCTGAAAGAAAAAGTGCCTGCTAGATTTATGAGCAAAAGCTGTCTATAGAATTTGATAGGCTGGGTGACACTGGCAGGCCATACCATGCAGATATATACATATGTGTATATATATGTATGTGTATGTATACAGACACAAAATAGGAGAAGTAGAATATAGTTTCTGTAGCTGTAGAGGTTTGTAGCTCCAGTGGAGAAATTTTACAGCATTAATGATTCACATCTGGCTAAAACATTGTATGGTTTTTGGTTGATAAATGTATCTTACAGGTGGTTGTTCTTTCAATTGCTTTTTTTTTTTTTAATTGCACTGACTTGCAAAGAGAGTGTACAATTGGAGTTTTCTCTGGTGGGACCAATGCAAAGGACACTTAATACGTTAATCCTCCAATCCTGCTTTGTGTAAGTGGGCATAGCTTTTTGCCCACAGAGATCCGTGCTGAAGTTAGAAGGGCCTGTATAATAGTAGTAACATTTTTAGATTAATATGAGAGGTTGAAACCTCAAATATGATATTTTAGAGTTTCTTTTGTAGGACTTCCTGTGCTCTGTATTACAATTTTATTATGTTACAGTCTTCCCATTAGGAGTGTCCTGTTCTCCTTCCTTCAGCCAAAGATTGGCATATCTGTCTGATCCTTGAGGATTTGATGCAAAGACAGGAAGTACTTGGTTCCCCTGTGGTCTGCTAAGGACATTTTTTTCTATAATGGCTCTATTACATATAAGAATTTCAGGGCTTTTTTTTTTTTTTTAAATGTAACAAGTTTTTCTAAGTGGTTTATGCTCTTTCATGCTGCGACTATCAATAAAAAACACTGATGTAAAGTGTTACGTTAATGCATATGCATCCCAGTAACAATTACAATCCATCATGCACTTCTGTTATTATCTGTCATCTCCATGATCCATGTAATAGTTGCTCTGTTATTTATTGATCCATTGCATCAGGTCAGAGAGCCTTAGAAAACAGAATTGGAAGGAATTTTGGGAGGATCTCATCTAGACTGCTCCTCTTCCAAAGATCAAGCTCAGCTGGATTTAAATCACTTCTGTCAAATGTGCATCTGTGCTTTCTCTATAATCTGATAATTTCATAGCCTCTCCAAGCATTCTATCTGAAGTGTCTAACTATCTGTACCATGAACAAGTTTTTTCTCACGTCTTGCCTAAATTTCCCGTTCTTTACTTCAAATCTGAAACTTACTACCCAGTTCCCAGTCGACATGAAGTACTTCTGCACCTTCCACATACTTGTTTGAACATGTCTCCCCTTTATTTTATTTTTGCCTATGAAAAACTATCTTAGTTGATTAAGCTTTCTCTTTAGATCATGTTTTCTAGATGTCTGATCATTCCTTCTGCATATTCCATCTGTCTGCATATTTCTTAAAAACATAGTGCCCAAAGTGGAGCACAGCATTTTAGCGGGGTTTTACCAGTGTCAGATGGAGTGGAAGCATTATTTCCCTAGTCTTACAGATGATTTTGTTTATATGCTGTAGTATTTTTTGCAGTGGCGTTGTATTGTTGACTTGCAGTCCACAAGGCCTCCTCTATCTCAGAACTATTTTCTGCAGCAGTACTGCACTGTCATTCATCTCCTGTCTGTCTTTGTGTTGTTCATTATTGCTGCCTGAACACAGGGTCTTGAACTTGCCTTTACTGAATTGCATTCTCTTTTTTCAAACCATTCCTCCAAGTTGTTGGAATGATTTTGAATTCTAATATTCATCTCTAGCTTTTTATAAATAGTCTCTCTCAGCTTTGCCACCTGCAGTCCTAAAACAAAATATTGAATTATATTGAATGGAAAACGGTCCCCAGTGGTATCCTATTTAGTTTGTATTTCCAACTTGATCCATAAGTACCATTTTCATACTAGCTTTGCACCTATTTCAGTTTCTTCAATTTCTTAAGTGTATCATGATCTCCTGACTTCTTAATGAAACTGTCATATTAGATAGCGTTCAAAGCCTTGATGACTGAAGTTACATTGTTTGTGTTGCTGCCCCATCCACAAGACCTGTTATCATATTAGAGCTGATATTTGTTTGACTGCACTTGATATATTCCTGACAAATCTGTTAGCTGTTGTTTCTTTTTTGATGAATTAAGCAGATCTCAGACTTAATTACCTTGAATGATCCACAGAGTAGCTGTGGAGTCAATGCGAAATCAGGAAAGAAGCCAGGAGTTGGGGAATTTAGACTAGCTGAGCAAGAGTCTTAGGAACAAGTTGTTCCAGCAACAGCAGGGCAGTTTGGCGTGGGTCAATGAAGGAGACCAGACTGGGGGCAGATAATGAAAGACAAACATATTAAGAGGGACTTGACTGGAGGAGGGCAGAGGAATCACACTTTGGAGAATCAGAAATATCTGCTCCTATTATAAAAAAATGCCAGCCAGAAGATGAATTTAAATGCAAATGGTTCATTTTACTGTGTAGATGGAGGCAGGAGTCATTCTGAAAAAAACCTGTTGTTTGCAACCTGTGTGGTGAGTTTCCTCTTCTCATCATGGCCACACAACATTTGTGCTTGGCATACAAAAAGTAACCTGATTTTGGTATTACAAAAAAGTTTGTTTTCTGCTCTGGCAGCAGCTAATCCACTTTTGGAGGCTTCCTGAAAGTTTTGGCACCTACTGGTGTGTTGAGTTCTTGTCAACTGTATGTATGGCCTCAGGCAAAAATAGCATAGATGGTAGATGTGATGGGGGTAAAGGAACCATTTAGCTCAATAATAAAATGAAGCTAATACTATAGTAGTATAATTGTAAACTGAGGCTTCATTAAAATGGTTGCCAGTTAAATGGTTCATTTTTAAAACCTCTTAAAAGATATTTGTAAGCTTCTCTCCAGGTTTTTTTTCCTAAACGCAGTATTTTGTAAGCGAACTAGTTTGGACTTAACTCATATATCAGATATAATAAATTTTCTATCTGTCATGGTATCCCAGAAGTTTTCAGTCTGAATCCCATGTGCAGTTCAGCTGTGAGTTGGTTTCTTAGGTTGAATTACTTCCAGCTATCTTCCTTGAGACTTGTTTCCTTACACAACAGACACAGGGAAATAATGTTGTTGTTAAAGATATTATTACTGCCATTGCAACTTTGAGTATTTTCTTTTAGTTCTTGAAATGTTTGGTCTTCTTGAAGAATATTTATAAAATTACTTGGACTTATATAGCACCTCAGGGCATCAGGATAAAGTTGAACCAGGGCTTCAGGTTCAACTTCCTTTTCCCTTCGTTCTGTCGTTATTTTCTCCTGGAGGTTGCAATAAACTCTTGGCTATGAATTGGATACAATAGGAGCTGCAGGTTCTCAGCCTCACTGCAAAATTCAGATGGATCAGTTTAAGGGACTGACTATATTAATACAGGTACTTACTTTAATCTTCCTACATTTGATTTTTTCCCAAAGTATACAACAAAGAAGAGCTTTCAGAGAATTAATATTGGATGTTCCAATTACTGTGCTATAGCTATTAGCCTCTGTGCAATGAGGTAAAAATGGTTTGTGTTCACAAGTTGTTATGTAGAAAGAATAATAGCCTTGAAAATGTTGGAGCGCATTATAATTAGAAAGATCACCTGCTAGTACACCTGTTGGGCAATGGCATAATGTAATATAATTTTATGTTAATTACTTTTCTGCTTTTTTCTTGCACCTGCTGCTTATAATGTCAGAACTGTACAAAGGTCCTAAGAAGTGACAATAGGAGCTGCATGTCACTGTTCATCAGCTTACATGTTGCATGCCTAAAGGGATCTTGATTTCAGCATCAATAACAGAGATTTGTGTTGCATTTAGTTGTAAACATGAATTACGTATTCACTATATACCCAAATTCTGCATCCAAATGGCTTATGTCTTGTAGAAGGATACATTGCATTTAGGAATTTTCACATTAACTGTGTCAGATAAAAAACGAAAAATTTATTTCTGTGTTGATAGGAACAG